CACACACACACACACACACACCCCATTGCACTCCAGCCTGGGCAACAGGGCAAGACTCCATCTCAAAAAAAAAAAAATACACACACACACGCGCGCGCGCGTTAGCCGGGCATGGTGGTGCATACCTGTAGTCCCAACTGCGTAGGTGGCTGAGGCACAAGAATTGCTTGAACCCAAGAAGTGGAGGTTGCAGTGAGCCGAGATTGCACCACTGTACTCCTGGGCAACAGAGTGAGACTCTGGCTCAAAAAAAAAAGCATGTGTAAATATGTATCACTAAGTCACTTAGACTTAGTGACATAGTGATGATAGACTTAGATTCCTAAAATCTGAGTTCAAGTCCCAGCTCTGCTATTTTCCCCATTTTACAAATTAGCAAAGAATGGTCCTGAGGAAAATGTATTTATTTGAGACTGTCAGATGGAGGTTTGTTTTTTTTTTTTTTTTTTTTTGCTACTTATCACCATGTCACTTAATGTAGTTTCATGTCTCCACTTAGGGAATCCTGGAAGAATAACCCTGCCATCAAACATGTTTTCTCATGGACTCTGCAACAGGTCACTCGGCCCTGGCTGAGCCAACATCTGGAAAGGGTACTTCCCGCATCATTGCTCATCTCAGATGATTATCAGACTGAGAACAAAATCCTGGGTGTACACTGTCTCCATCACATTGTGCTTAATGTGGTAAGCAACCTCTGCCTTGCCATCCTTGTTGACAAGACTGACTGAGTCATTCCTGGCTTTTCTTCATTCATTATATCACTATTTTATTTTTGCTTATATCTTTTATTAACTGGCTTTCTGGTAATGCTAAGTCATTCTACTTTATTTATTTGTATGGTTTTTTCCTTATATTTTTCCTCTATTAACCTGGTAGAAGTTGTATCCCATGAGTAATGTAATAACTAAAAAAAAAAAAAATTATAGAAGAAACAGGAAGACATGGGTCATTATCAACGGAATAGCCAGATCTTGAGAACTGGTTAACAATTGACTTTCTTTTTTCTTTTCTTGAGATATTATCGCTCTGTTGCCCAGGCTGGAGTGTAATCTCGGCTCACTGCAGCCTCCACCTCCCGAGTTCAAGTGATTCTCTTGCCTCAGCTTCCCTAGTAGCTGGGAGTCCTCCCTTGTAGCCGGGACTCCCTAGTAGCACCACCATCTCCAGCTAATTTTTGTATTTTTAGTAGAGACAGGGTTTCATCATATTGGTCAGGTATGCCTCGAACTCCTGACCTCAGGTGATCCACCCTTCTCGGCCTCCCAGAGTACTGGGATTACAGAGCTGAGCCACCGTGCCCGGCCTACAGTTGACTTTCAAGGAGGAGAACAAAACAAACAAAATCAGAAATTGAAAGGGACCGCCTAAATGTGGAAGCTATTACTCAAGGAAAAAAAATTTTTTAAACTTTGTATTATGGAGCTTTTAAAATACACACAGAAGTAGAGAATGGTATAATTAATCTCCATGTACCTATAGGGGAGCGCCAAAGATCACTTCCAACCCTGACCCCCCACCTTTATTATTTTTTTTTTTGAGGCAGACTCTTGCTCTGTTGCCCAGGCTGGAGTGCAGTGGTACGATCTTAGCTCACTTCAACCTCTGCCTCCTGGGTTCAAATGATTCTTGTGCCTCAGCCTCTAGAGTAGCTGGCATTACAGTCACACACCACCATGCCCAGCTAAATTTTTTTTGTATTTTTTGTGAAGATGGGGTCTCACGATGTTGGCCAGGCTGGTCTCGAATTCCTGGCGTCAAGCAATTAACCAGTCTAGTCTCCCATAGTGCTGGGATTGATTACAGGCATGAGCCACCACACCTGGCCTCAGCCCCCTTTTTATCTCTTAGTGGGCTCTTTTCCTGGATCTAGAAACCAAATTGACAACAGGCAGATTAACAAGAGGAAACTATACACATTTATTAGTTTTACATGTACGTGGGGATCTTCACAAGAGAGAGAAGTCTGAAGAAGTGGCCAAAGCAATATACTTTTTAGACAAAGAATGATAAATTTTTCTTTTTTTTTACTACCCCTTTCCTAGCCAAATTTTCCTTTTTTAAATTTTTTTTTTATTTTTTGAGGCAGGGTGTTGCTCTGTTATCCAGGCCGGAGTGCAGTGGCACAATCATAGCTCACTGCAGCCTCAACCTTCTGGGCGTAAGCGATCCTCCCACATCACCCTTTCAAGTAGCTTGGACTATAGGCACGCACCACCAGGCCACACTAATTTTTTAATTTTTCTTTTTTTAATTGGTAGAGACAGGGTCTTGCTCTGTTGCCCAGGCTGGTCTGAACTTGGCCTTAAGTGAGCCTCTCACCTTGGCCTTCCAAAGTGCTGGGATTACAGGTATAAGTCACCATACTTGGCTCTAGGGTAGTCAGTAGGAAATATATGGTTGGGGGTAGTAGGGTGATAAAGGTTAGGTGGAAGATAAGGCCACTTTGTTCAGTTTATTTATTTAGGTCCATTGTAGCCTTCCATTCCAAGTCTCTGGTGATAAGTGCTGTTTTCACCCTGGTATGGAAAGCATATTTGACCCAGAGGAATCTTTAATCACTTGCTGTGTGCAGAAAGAGACGGGTCAGCTCACCCTTCCTGAATCTACAGTCTCTGCAGTATTTTCAACTCGAAATAATCATTGTACCAGTCTGGCATATTTTGGGATAACATGTTCTTCACTTCTTCATACCCATAATTCAATTTCAAAGACAGTCAACATTTGCCAATCTTGGGAAACTGTTCTTTTAATTTGATAATTTGTCTGGTTGCAGCCAGCTGCTGATTTGCTCCAGTATAACAGAGCGCAGGTTTTATACCATGCTGTTTTCAACCACCTGTACACGCCAGAGCACCACCTTGTTCAGGTAATAATACGATTTGTTCGTAACTGTGTCTAGATTCTCTAAATTCGAGTAGAAGGTTGCATTGTGTGAGTAGGAATAATTGAGAGACATTTTTCTGTCTTGGAAAGTGAGGATGATAACTAAAGCCTGTTGCCAAATTAAAAATATCTCAACACCAAGCAGGCATCCACATTCCTGAATCTCCACAGGTAAGCCAGTGTTTTTTCTTCGTCTGAATCGATCATATATTACTTTGGGCCAGGCGTGGTGGCTCACACCTGTAATCCCAGCACTTTGGGAGGCCAAAGCTGGCAGATCACCTGAGGTCAGGAGTTTGAGACCAGTCTGACCAATATGACAAAACCCCATCTCTACTAAAAATACAAAAAAATTAGCCGAGCATGATGGCGTGCACCTGTAGTCCCTGCTACGTGGGAGGCTGAGGCACGAGAATCGTTTGAACCCCGGTGGCGGAGGTTGCAGTGAGCTGAGATCACATCACTGCACCCCAGCCTAGGTGACAGACTAAGACTCCATCTCAATTTAAAAAAAAAAAGTATATTTTTTGGGGACAGCTTTATGTCTGAAAAGGTCTATTTTTATTAATTTAAATGTTCTTCTGTTTTGCTTTACATTAGCACACACACTTGACACTCCTTGCATGTTAGATATTGGAGTGTTATTTATTATTTCATCCAACAGACATGGTTTCAAGAGTATATGAATCACATAGGGTTTTTGGCTTTAAGAAAATCTTTGGGCCGGGCATGGTGGGTCATACCTGTAATCCCAGTACTTTGGGAGGCCGAGGCTGGCAGATCAATAGGTCAAGAGTTCGAGACCAGCCTGGACAACATGATGAAACCCCATTTCTATTAAAAATACAAAAAAATTGCTGGGCATGATGGCAGGCACCTGTCATCCCAGCTTCTTGAGAGGCTGAGGCAGGAGAGTCATTTGAACCCAGAAGGTAGAGGTTGCAGTGAGCCGAGGTTGTGCCATTGCATTCCAGCCTGGGTGGCAGGGTGAGATTCTGTCTCAAAACGAAAAGAACAAAAGGAAAATCTTTGGAGAGACATTTATATAAATATGAATATGTACTTAGATATTTACACACACACACACACACACACACACACACACACACACATACACACATGGTACAAAATGATAACTGCATTAGAAGAGGTTTGTATAAAGTGCAGTGGGTAGTTGGGCATGGTGACTCACGCCTGTAATCCTACCACTTTGGAAGGCCAAGGGGGGCGGATCACCTGAGGTTGGGAGTTCGAGACCAGCCTGACCAACATGGTGAAACCCCATCTTTACTAAAAATACAAAATTAGCCAGGCATGGTGGCACATGCCTATAATCCCAGCTACTTGGGAGGCTGAGGCAGGAGAATCACTTGACCCTGGGAGGTGGAGGTTGTGGTGAGCCAGGATCGCACCATTGCACTCCAGCTTGGGCAACAAGAGTTAAACTCTGTGGATAGTGCAGTGGCTGTCAAGCAGTAGGTAACTAACCAGGTTTGGGGTGACTTTAGGAGGCTTTGGGAAGGAGGTAATATTTATCATTATGAGGGATGAATAAGTGAAAGTTTCTCAGGAGGGGAAAAGAAACTCCAAAGACAGGAGAAACAAATTGTGTAAAATTAGAGGTGGAGGCAACCTTGTTTCTTTTGCCCAGGCCAGAGTACAGTGGCATGATCTTGGCACATTTCTACCTTCGCCTCCCAGGTTCAAGGGATCTTCCTGCCTCAGCCAACTGAGTACCTGGGATTACAGGCACGTGCCACCATGCCTGGCTAATTTTGGTATTTTTATCAGATATGGGGTTTTGCCATGTTGCCCTGGCTGGTCTCAAACTCAGTGTTTGTGACCTCAAGTGTTCTGCCCACCTCGGCCTCCCAAGATACTGGGATTACACATGTGAGCCACTCTGCCCAGCCTCTTTTTCTTTTTAGCAGTATTTTAAATACTGGGTATTAAGAATCCAGATAGTAACAGCCAGAAAGGTCAGGGTTCTTAAGGTGGTAGAGAAAAGAAATTTTAAGAAACCAAAACACCAAGAGAAAAACCAAAGGTCCCAGGAAAGTTAAAAGGGTGTACCTTAACCAAGCTTGTCCAACCCACAGTCCGCATGCTTCCCAAGATGGTATTGACGCAGCAGCCTAACACAAATTTGTAAACTTTCTTAAAATGTTATGATTTTTTTTCTTTTCTTTTTTTGAGCTCATCAGCTATCATTAGTGTAGTGTATTTTATGTGTGGCCCAAGACAATTCTTCTTCCAGTGTGGCCCAGGGAATACCCCTGGCTTAGACACTGCGACTTCAGCAGGTAGGGTCATCAAATTTGACCCAAATTTGGAACATTCTTAGTTTCTGTTTAGGAGCAGTTTTATTAAAAGTATGTATAAATATTGGCTGAGAGCATTGGCTCATACCTGTAATCCCAGCACTTTGGGAGGCCGAGGTGGATGGATCGCTTGAGGCCAGGAGTTCGAGAGCAGCTGGCCAACATGGTGAAACCCTGTCTCTACTAACAAATACAAAAGTTGGGTCAGGCGCGGTGGCTCATGCCTATAATCCCAACACTTTGGGAAGCTGACTGAGTAAATCACAAGGTCAGGAGTTTGAGACCAGCCTGGCCAATGGTGAAATCCCATCTCTACTAAAAATACGAAAATAAGCTGGGTGTGGTGGCATGTGCCTCTAATCCCAGCTACTCGGGAGGCTGAGGCAGGAGAATCACTTGAACCCGGGAGGCAGAAGTTGCAGTGAACCGAGACTGTGCCATTGCACTCCAGCCTGGGCAACAGGGCAAGACTCCATCTCTCTCTGTCTCTGTCTCTCTCTCTCTCTCTCTCACACACACACACACACACACACATACACACACACACACACACACTCTTAAATTCAGTTGCAATAAACCATGAANCACACACACACACACACACACCCCATTGCACTCCAGCCTGGGCAACAGGGCAAGACTCCATCTCAAAAAAAAAAAAATACACACACACACGCGCGCGCGCGTTAGCCGGGCATGGTGGTGCATACCTGTAGTCCCAACTGCGTAGGTGGCTGAGGCACAAGAATTGCTTGAACCCAAGAAGTGGAGGTTGCAGTGAGCCGAGATTGCACCACTGTACTCCTGGGCAACAGAGTGAGACTCTGGCTCAAAAAAAAAAGCATGTGTAAATATGTATCACTAAGTCACTTAGACTTAGTGACATAGTGATGATAGACTTAGATTCCTAAAATCTGAGTTCAAGTCCCAGCTCTGCTATTTTCCCCATTTTACAAATTAGCAAAGAATGGTCCTGAGGAAAATGTATTTATTTGAGACTGTCAGATGGAGGTTTGTTTTTTTTTTTTTTTTTTTTGAGACAGAGTCTCACTCTGTCACCAGGCTGGAGTGCAGTGGTGTGATCTTGGCTCACTGCAACCTCCACCTCCCAGGTTCAAGTGATTCTCCTGCCTCAGCCTCCCGAGTAGCTGGGACTACAGGGGAACACCACCATGCCCAGCTAATTTTTGTATTTTTAGTAGAGATGGGGTTTCACCATGTTGGTCAGGATGGCCTTAATCTCTTGACCTCATGATTCGCCCGACTCGGCCTCACAAAGTGCTGGGATTACAGGAATGAGCCACTATTCATGGCTAGATGGAAATTAAGAATGTAAAACAATTTGAAAATGTAAAGTAATAGGTATTTCATGTATTATTACTACTATCTTAGAATTTTATGGTATGAACCCTAAGGGCAGTAGATTAATGAAGTTCTAGAAAAGTCAATGAGTATTATAAATGCAAGTGGATGAACTATGCAGTGTCCTTCCATTCCTTCCTCCTAGGCTGTGCTCCTGTGTCTGTTGGATTTATTCCCCATCCTGGAGAAAACCGTGCACTGGAAAGGAGATGGAGCTCGACCCACCACCCATTGTGATGAGGTCCTGCAGCTGATCCTGACTCACATGGAGCCAGAGCACCGCCTTCTCTTACGCAGGACCTATGCAAGAAACCTGCCGGCTTTCGTGAAGAGGTGAGTCCCTGGGTTTTTATTTGTTATTAATTTATAGAGACAGGATCGTGCTATGTTGCCCAAGCTGGTCACAAACTCCTGGCCTCAAGCAATCCTCCCACCTCAGCCTCCCAGTGTGCTGGGATTACAGGCATGAGCCACTGCTGGTGTCATATTTTCTTTCATCTTTAGGTTGGGGATCCTAACTGTCCGGCACTTGAAGAGGCTGGAGAGAGTCATCATTGGTTATCTGGAGGTTTATGATGGACCTGAGGAGGAAGCCAGATTGAAGATATTGGAAACCCTAAAACTTCTCATGCAACATACTTGGCCCAGGTAATGGCAGCCTTTAGGTACAAAACTCAGCTGATTTTCTCTTGAGAACTTGCTTGAATGTACTTAATACATTTAGTACAAAGTACTAAATGTGTATCCTGTATTTGAATACCTCCTATTTTCACACACCTATAGGATTTTAAACTGAGAAAATGGCATTATAAAGATAAAATGGACTATAGTTACTTGAGGTGCGCATATTTGACCCTTTTACCAATGATCAGTTCCAGATTTTGACACTATTAAACCACTTCTCTTTGAAACTCTAGTATATCTTTAGAATGGTTTAGATTGGTGTTCTGCAGAATCCCCATCGAGGTACTCTTTGATGCCCCACAGGGAAAAAAAATTCTGTGGTCAAATAGGTTGGGAAACCATACAGGTTGTACATCTCTCTAGATTTAGAATGCATATTAGAAGATTAAAGGCCATTTAGAAGTATTGCAGTAAAGACATTTGCTTAACTTTGTTAATCCTAATGTTCTTTAAATCTAATTGAGAGTAGAGCACTTCATAGCACATCATTTAAGATCTGCAGAGCAGTGATCAGAATACCAATCTAGAGGCTGGGTGTGGTGGTTCATGCCTGTAATCCCAGCACTTTGGGAGGCCAAGGTGGGTGGATCACCTGAGGTCAGGAGTTCAAGACCAGCCTGTCCAACATGGTGAAACCCCGTCTTTACCAAAAATACAAAAATTAGTTGGGGGTGGTGGTGCACACCTGTAGTCCCAGCTACTCAGGAGGCTGAGGCAGGAAAATCACTTGAACCTGAGAGGAGGAGGTTGCAGTGAGCTGAGATCGTGCCACTGCACTCCAGACTGGGTGATGGAGTGAGACTGTCTCAAAAAATTAAAATTAAAAAGGAATACTAATCTAGGATATACTTGCTTGGAAATCATTCCAAATCTGGCTTGAGGTAGGTGTCAGGAACTGGTACCCAAACTGTTGAGTCATCAGAAGGATCTCTTGCATAGCTGAAAGTTGAGTTCAGCCAGAGAATCCAGTGCCCCAACAACATATAGTGTCTATTTAGGACCATATTCTCTCACTTCCTTATATATATGCAAGGAATCCAGAGTAATGTTCTCCGTGACAACCTTTCTCTTAGTCATATTGGTAACTGGATTGCATTTGTTTACTATCTTTCTTCCCAACTGAATTATAAACTCCAGGATAATGGAAAACTACATCTATTATAGTCTCCCAAAGTATACTTAGTACATGGTATTAAGAATACAAATGTTTGAAGAATGAATGGATTAGAAGAGAATGAGTCACTGGATGAATAAAATCGAATCAGACTGTCAGGCCTTTAAAGAGCAGAGATCAAGATTCCAAGAAGGGAGAGTGAATAAATGTAGGGAGTTAGAAAAGGAATGTTGTGTGTGTGAGGGGGTGGAGCATGGGAAATGGAAAATAGAGCTGATTATAAGTTGAATAACAGATGGAGGGCTGAGAGGCACCCAAACCGTAGGAAAATGAGGAGTATTTTTTAGATAAAAACTTTTTCTCCCAGTCACACATCTTTCCATAAATATGTGTTGTGCATCTTTTCACATTACAAGTTAAATTATTTTCCACCTTTCCTTAAGGTTTCTTATGGTTTTTTATTGTGATAAAAATAAGAATTTTCTATTTTAAAGTGAACAGTTCGGTGGGATTAAGTACGATCACAATATTGTGCAGTCACTACCATCATCCATTTCCGGAGCTTTACCAACACAATGAAAACTTTTAGAAAGGTGAATAGTTACAAGTAAGTAGGCTGGACTTCACTGATGGTGAGCTAGAATCTGAAATTAAATGACAGAAAATTCAAATTGACACTTAAGTCCCAGAAGCCAAGCTCATTTCCCTCACTCTTTAAATTCCAGGCCCGAGATGGCATTAAAGTTAAAGCATTGAGGGCTCTCTCCATGCATAGTTCAGTTAATAGAGTTGAAAAATACAAGTACCTGGATAGGCCCTTGTTTAGGGGAGATCCTGGTTTCCCCTTTTCAGCTCATGAAGAAGCTGTTTGCTTACAGTAGAATCAAGCTGTGTGTGTGTGTATGTGTATGTGTATGTGTATCATATTTTGTCTTTTGGGGTAAGAAATCTGGAGGCTGTCTTTGGTTCTGTTTTTAGGTCTTTTTTATTTAACCTTAACCTTAATTCCCTAATTTATGAAATGAGGGCTTTCCACTTGACAGTCTTTGAAGTCTCTTCCAATTTTAATATCCTGATTTAGAACATGAACATAGCTTTTCTTCTTAATTCCAGAATTTCCTGTAGACTTGTGGTCTTACTGAAGGCTCTCTTGAAACTGATATGTGATATAGCAAGGGATCCAAGCCTTACACCCCAGTCTGTTAAGAGCGCCCTGCTACAGGAGGCCACAGACTGCCTGATTCTTCTGGACTGCTGCTCTCAAGGACGGGTGAAGGTGAGGCAAACTGAAACTTGGTTTCACTTGGGCCTCATTATCCTTATGTAATTCCTGTGATTGATTATAATTTACTATGTGCCTGACCAAGTCTGAAAATGAACACGGAGGGTTTTAGATCTCCATATGAGCGCTCTAGCATTCAACACAGCTTGATATTTTTTCTTACTGATCTTTTAAAGCTATTCAGAACCATTTAGAACTAAAGACAGGAGGATCAGCACATGTTTCCGGGGTTAAGGACAAGAGAGAATGGGCAAAAGAAAAGCATTATGATCAAATGTTTGTAAAATTTAAGTTTTGTTCTAGTCTTCTGAATTAAAAATAAAAAAAAGTACGACTCCAGCCTGGTGACAAAGCAAGATTCCCTCTCAAAAGAAAAAAAAAAAAAGTAGAAATAATGGGCTATTAGCTCCCAGGAATAACATCAATAGAGCATTTCAGATATTTCCAGTTTTTTAGGGGGAACCATCTCTTAGGTAGATGTTTTCCAATATTCTTAATTTATCTACATGGAAATTCTTCCTTTGGTTTCATAATCCACAAAACTTCATTTCTCAAAGCCATAGCATATAATATGTATGTATTTCTATGTATTTAGTAAACTACTGCTTCTTTTTCTTTTTTGAGAGTCTTGCTCTGTCACCCAAGCTGGAATGCAGTGGTCCAATCTCAGCTCACTGCAACCTCTGCCTTCTGAGTTCAAGTGATTCTCCTGCCTCAGCCTCCTGAGTAGCTGAGAATACAGGCTAGCACCACCTTGCCTGGCTAATTTTTGTATTTTTAGTAGTGATATGGTTTCACCATGTTGGTCAGGCTGGTCTTGAATTCCTGACCTTGTGATCTACCTGCTTCGGCCTCCCAAAGTGCTGAGATTACAGACGTGAGCCACCGTGCCCAGCCACTGTTACATTTCTTATCTCTTTTAGAAATAAAAAAAAAAAAAAAAAAAAAAAAAAAAAAAAAAAAAGAAATTAATATCCTAAAAATATGTAGAGATAGTATGAATTGTTATTTTACCAGTTTATTCAAATGATTTCATCTTAGCTCTTTAATCTTGGGCAGTTTTCAAGCCCTAGATCCAGCTGAATTTGCCTTGGCTGGAATTCTGCTGCTTCATGAGCCAGCAGCAGATTTGCAAGCACATTAACACAGTTTTTAAAGCAATACCTTCAATACATAAGAGCTATATAAATTTAAAAATTAAAAAACTTAATACCTACTCTGTTTAGTGACCTGTCCCCGAGTGTGATCCATTCTTTCCTCCTTTGAGTAGGATACCAAGGAAGAAGAATCAAGCAAAAGGGGAAACAAGTAATTAAAGAAAAAAATCAAGGCCTGTTTGGTTTCATGTTTCAGGGTCTCCTGGCCAAAATTCCCCAAAGCTGTGAAGACAGCAAGGTGGTGAACTGTATCAGAAAAGTCCAGCAGATTTCTGAAGGCGCTCCCTATGATGGAACTTAAGACTTGCATTACTTTCCCAAGACAAAAGGACTCTCTTTCCATCCCAAATTGTATGAATGGAGTATTTAAGAAAAAAAGGTATTTTTACACTAAATTTGTAAGTTAAAACTGCTTTTTTCTTCTTTCCTTTTACCTCCACAGGAGTAGGGAAAGTAGAACAAGACAAAATTGAATTCCTTCCATTTCTAAATAAAGTTTGGGAGAAAAAAGGACACCAAGGAATTTAGCATTTAAAATTTAGAAATATTTACATCTATCCTCTCATTCCAGATTCAAGAACTCATCTGTTAAATTTCTTGGGCACAAGCTGTTACTTCAACACATATGCTATAAAAACACTCTCGTTCACAACTTAGGGCTTTCTTCACTCACTCCAGATTTCCACTCAGTCCAGATTTCTTGCCTCACTGATGTGGCATAAATAATAAAAACACAAATATTGTGTTTAATACAACACAAAAGAGCAAAAACTGGAGGTGTTTATATGTTTAAGATTAAAAAAAAAAAAAGTAGTAGTTCTGTATGTTCAGTCCTGGTATAAGTGTTTAAAGAAAAATCACGTGGTTTTGGCCTTGGCCACGGGCTCTGTCTCCTGCTCATATTCTATTTCCACATAGGCTCGTTTTCTCTGCAGTGGTCCTTTCAAGGGCATTTTGCCTTTGTGTTTCGCACTAAGGGCCTTTTTTTCTTCTTCTTCACTGGAGGATTTACCATCCTGATCTTCATCACTGCTGGCATCCAGTTTATCCATATCCTAATATGGGGAGAGAAAAGATAAGGGAGGGAAAATACTAGATTTCACCAAACTACCTTCATTGTACCCTCAATTTAGAACAGACTAAGGAGTTGATATGCCTGTGCCTGTGTTCAGAAACCTTCCCTATTTTTTTTTTCTTTTTTGGAGACTAGGTCTTGCTCTGTTGCCCAAGCAGGAGTGCAGTGGCATAGTCATGGCTCACTGAAGCCTGAAACTTCTGTAGTCAAGCAATCCTCCCACCTCAGCTTCCCGAGTAGCTGGGACTACAGGCAACCGCCACCACCCCCAGCTGATTTTTAATTTTTTCATCCTTTTTTGACATGGAATCTCGCTCTGTGGCCCAGGCTGGAGTGCAGTGGTGAGATTCAACTCACTGCAACCTCTGCCTCCTGGGTTAAGTGATTCTTCTGCCTTGGCCTCCCAAGTAGCTGGGATGATAGGCATGTGCTGCCACGCCTCGCTAATTTTTGTATTTTTAGTAGAGACAGGGTTTTGACATGTTGGCCAGGCTGGTCTTGAACTCCTGACGTTAAGTGATCTGCCCGCCTTGGCCTCCCAAAGTGCTAGGATTACAGGAGTGAGCCACTGCACCTGGCCATGATTTTAAAAAAATTTTTAGGCTGGGTGCGGTGGTTCACGCCTGTAATCCCAGCACTTTGGGAGGCCGAGATGGGCGGATCACAAGGTCAAGAGATTGAGATCATCCTGGCCAACATGGTGAAACCCCATCTCTACTACAAATACAAAAAGTAGCCAGGCGTGGTGGCACGCATCTGTGGTCCCAGCTACTCGAGAGGCTGAGGCGGAAGAATCGCTTGAACCCAGGAGACGGAGGTTGGAGTGAGCCAAGATTGCGCCACTGCACTCCAGCCTGGTGACAGAGCAAGACTCCGTCTCAAAAAAAAAAAAATTTTTTTTTTATTAGAGATGAGGTCTCACTATGTTGCCCAGGCTGGTCTCGAACTCCTGAGTTCAAGTGATCCTCCCATTTTGGTCTCCCAAAGTGCTGGGATTATAGGTGTGAGCCCCTGGCCATCTCCCTGTTCTTCTTGTTGTTGTTTTTGCTGCAGGCCAAAGGACAATCTTTTTACCCATGAAGCTCACCTCAAAATCACTTATGTCACTCTCATCCACCTCATCATCTTCGACAAATTCTTTTTTCCCCACATCCTATAAATAAAACATAACTGTTAGGTTCAGAATATATAATGAAGATTCATATTAGACATCTAAATAAGTACAAAATAACATATTCAGAACCAGAGTCTATTCACTAGGCAACCAACATTTAATTCTTCTGAAGTTTAATGCTTCTGAATTTTAAAAATTTTACGGCTATCAGATAATTCTTATTCTTGATTTAAAATTATTAGCAGTAAAACATCCTCATTATGGTTAAAAACTAGATACAGACAGGAAAGGGTTTATAATTTGTCACCTTGCAGGAACAATTTTAGAAAGCCAATAAATTAAGACTAAAAACTGTTAATAGTTTGTTCGTTAGCCTGAAGAGCAGCGCAAACAGTGCTAAACCAAAGTTAATCTTATGACAGAAAAGAGAAGACAAATTATTTTTGATTAGCTGACTAAAGATGATACTCTGTCTTTCAGTTATATACAAATAGTATCTAAAAGGTTTGGCAAAACAAAAACAAGACTTACTTCCTCATCATCATCTTCTTCCTCAGCATCTGAGGAGTCACTCTCTGCCTCCTGTTGTTCCAGGGCCTTGTCAAAGGCATGAATGGGGAAGTTGTAGATGTCTCCATACTGAAGAACATAAACACAGACTGGCTTTAACTACATTTGGATGTGACACTTGAAGTTCCATGGTCTGTGGGGCGTATTATTTTTTTCCCCAGTGATTAAATCAGAATACTTAATTTGATGAGTAATATTTTTAAGTGTAGATCCACCAGTGTCTTAAAAAAGCATGTTTTGAACATTTAAATCATCATTAGTTAGTATCAAATAGGTAACTTCTATGGAAGATGGGACCACATCATTTAAAATGTAATACTCTATAAAACCCATGCATTGGGACAAATTTAATTTTGCTAATAAGGATAAATAATAAGGAAACAGCATAGTTTAGTCATGTTGTCTGTTTAAACAACAGTAATTTTTAAAAAGAGAATAAAACCTTAGGCCGGGCATGGTGGCTCACGCCTGTAATCCAAGCACTTTGGAGGCCAAGGTGGGCAGATCACCTGAGGTTGGGAGTTCAAGACCAGCCTGACTAACATGGTGAAACCCTGTCTTTATGTTTTAAAGTGTATAAAAAATTTTTATAAAAATAAAAGAAAAAGAATAAAACCTTAAAAGACTAGGGTAATTATGGAGGAGAAGGAAAACCCTGTGGCTTTTATACAGAAATCTGGAGTTGCTGCCTTGGGGAATAGAGTTGAGAATAATGGCAAAAAGGGAAAGGTCTCTTACAGTGAATGAAGTATCAAGGGTAACCAAAGCATTTTATGTGCTTACATTGATTAAAATAAGTCAGGCCGATTTGGATTTATTTTATTTCGGGGATAAAATTCGAGCAGAGATCTTTATATAATGTTAAAAAACATTTCCCAATATATCTTAGCATCATACTACCACTTAAAATATTAGTACCCCAAAGCTACTGGCTTTCTCACCGTATCTTGTTTCAGTCTCTCCAGTAATTCCTTCTCAATGGCATTGTCTAGCTGAGCAGCTATTAATGCCTTTTCCTATAAGAGAGAAAGAGCAAATCCATTTAATTCATCAGTGCTCCTTATTCATTTTATAAAAATGGAAAAAACTACCAAGTTTTTTAATCAGAAAGACAATGTAATCATTTCCCCTCCTTGCTATTACTGGCTTTTGCCTTTCCAGCCAGATATATTTCTTCTTTCTCTTGCAAACTTTCTTGGGAATGTTTCCATTTTGAAATTCCTATGATTTTGTAAACAACATTCTAAATTCTAACAAAGCCTTTGACAGATACAAAACATGTAGGACCATATACCTCTAAGTGTCTCATAAAAAATCTAGCAGCTCTGGAGCCAGACTTTGTAAAAGCTGAGAAAAGGGAACAGAAATCTTCATTCGTTTACATTTTCTAAAATCATGCTAGCTTCTGTGTGATAGAATAGGTAAAAATTAAGTGATCTCTCACTGCAGATGATATAAGAGTGATGTTCCATGTTGTTCTCAAGAGTGGAATGCTTATACCTCAAGGGTGATCTGCTAAAGTGTAGGAAGAAAATACCCAAAATTTCTATGTATCTCTTTTTCCTTAAAAAATTTAATGTCATGGGCCAGGTGTGTTGGCTGACGCCTGTAATCCTAGCACTTTGGGAGGCCAAGGTGGGTGGATCACCTGAGGTCAGGAGTTCGAGACCAGACTGGCCAACATGGTAAAACTCCATCTCTACTAAAAATACAAAAAGCCGGGCATGGTGGTATGTGCCTGTAATCCCAGCTACCCGAGAGGCCGAGGCAGGAGAATCAGTGGAACACAGGAGGCGGAGGCTGCAGTGAGCCGAGACTGCACCACTGCACTCCAGCCTGGGTAACAGAGTGAGACTCCACCTCAAAAATAAATAAATAAACAAACATCATTACAACTGACATTGGTGCCTTGACTGTCTATAAGTAGTTGTGTGTCAGACACAGTGAGCAAGATATCTCAAGGAAGGAATACTGCACATAGCACTTGCAAGTGGTAATCTCACTCCTTTATTTAGGTAACTGTTTATGTTTGCCTAGTTAAGTGGATTCATAGTGGATACTGAATATTCTGCCAAAGACAGGGAGTAGTCATAAAGGTATGCTAGTTATCTAATGGCTTAGTACTTTAAAAAGTTGTAGAATCAGACCCACGTAATGGCTCATGCCTGTAATCCCAGCACTTTGAGAGGCCAAGGTGGGTAGATCACCTGAGGTCTGGAGATTGAGACCAGCCTGGCCGATGTGGTGAAACCTCATCTCTACTAAAAATACAAAAAATTAGCCAGGTGTGGTGGCACATGCCCGTAATCCCAGTTATTCAGGAGGCTGAGGCACAAGAATTGCTTGAACCCAGGAGGTGGAGGTTGCAGTGAGCCAAGATGGCGCCATTGCACTCCAGCTTGGGTGACAGAGTGAGAGTTATAGAACCTAAAGATAATCCGTGCATTTTCACAAAAAGAAAAATGTTCCAAACTTGCTAATCTTTTTCTAAGATAACAAATGGCTGTCAGTGGTGTGTAACCCAGTAGAAGTTTTAAAAAATAAATACACTTAATCTGTTTCTCCCAGACTAAGGCAAACTTTTAATAGTTTGAGGAAAACAACTGTATTTTGAAAGAAAAAATGTTCTGTGCACGTTTTGAAAAGAAAAGTGATAGATATGGCACTGCTGAAAACATGTCTCCTATAAAAATTGTAATCACACACTTTAAGAATGTGGAAAAGAATACTGTAATCCATTTAAAATTCTTGCAAATCTACATTTTTCAGAGGGCCTGAACAGTTTGCATAAGTGATGGTGACTGAATCTATAAGAGCCCGCCAGAAAGAAAATGTAGAAGGTATGAATATCACAACAATAAGTTACCTCTCTTCTTTTCTCCCTACGTTCCACCTTCTTACTCAAAGGAACCAGTTTCCTCCTAAGGGAAGGAAAATATATCAGAAAATCCAAGTTCATGTGCTATGTGTTCCTTTTTAGAGATATGAAAAAGGGACTGGAATTGGTTCTGTAGGGCTCAGCTTAATACATCAAGATGTACTATTTAAATGCTTCTACACATTTAATTCCATAAAAAGTTACATATTTTTACATATATTTTAATCTGGCTATTTTTGTTTACGCATTCTGGGATTCTCAGGGCATCTGCCATGCTAAAATTAAGACTTCAGTGAACTGAGAAAAAAGAATTTTCTGTTTAAGTCTGACATCATCTTTAGATTCTCTGTAGATCACAGTCAAAAAGGATTAGGGCCTAACAGTCTTAGAGAAGGTACTCTTAATTCTGGAGATTTCATATCACTTTTTAAAAATTAGTTTTCAGTGAATCCAGAGTAAAGTTCTTACATTCCTGTATATTCACATTTCTTAGCTCATTTTCAAATCTCTAATGTTAAGATTCCCTCAGGGAGTTATAGAGAAAATTTTCTGAAGGCTAGGCATGGTGGCTTATGCCTGTAATCCCAGCACTTTGGGAGGCTGAGGCAGGTGGATCACTTGAGGTCAGGAATTCTAGACTAGCCTGGCCAACATGGTGAAACTCCGTCTCTACTAAAAGTACAAAAAAAAAAAAAAAAAAAAAAAAAAAAAAAAAAAAAAAAAAAAAAAAAAAAAAAAAAAAAAAAGTACAAAAAAATACTTAGCCCAGTGTGGTGATGCATGCCTGTAATCACAGCTACTTGGGAGGCTGAGGTGGAGGCTGCAGTGAGCTGAGATAGCGCCACTGTACATTTTAGCCTAGGCCACTGAGCGAGACTGTCTCAAAAGGAGTTTCTTTTCTTTCTGAATTTTCTGAAAGATGTTCAGACAGCAAAGGTGATAATCAAGTTGTATTCCATTTTAAAAGTCCTGTCATATCAAAGGGCACACCTTTAGTCTAAGCCAAAGTTTCTTCTTAGTACATCATAACACACTCCACAAAGTTAAATAGAAAGTCCTGAAGTTTTACAATCTCAATTTCAAAACAAGCTCCATGAAAAGACAAATTTAAAAATAATGAATGATCCAAATACTTACTGTCGCTTTAGTGTAAGTTTTCTAATTCGAATTAGGTATTGGGTGATCTTGGTGAATCTCTGCTTACATTTGTGTCGAATGAAACGGGGCCAGTAAATCAGATTTTCATCTATTTGCTCCAGTGCTTTCTCATAGTTTTTACTAAGCCGGACCTACCCAACAGAAAAAGGAAGTTTGAAGGGCAAGTGTAAATGAATCATTAGGTTTTCACTGTCAGTGACACCTATGGCCTAATGAGGATGGCCTCAAAAGTTTAGATATGGTTAAGGAAGAGGGCATCATGATCAAGCACGTGGCTGTCATGCTCTTGATCAGTGGTCACTATAGATTTGTCGTAAGCCTTACCCGTTCCCAGAGACGCCGAGGAAAAGCTGCTCGTTCTATAACCTTCATATACAAGTAGCACTGTCCTGAGGATAAAGTAAAATAGCTTTAATGTTATTTGCAGAGACTAAAGAACATCCCTTTAAAAGCTGTGGAGCAGTCCTTCTAAAAGTTAAAACTGGGGAGTTACCTTTCTCTTCTTTAATAGTTGCATACTGGCTATTTGCCAGGGGACAAGATGACCGATTACAGAGTCCAGTCAGGCTGTATTCATTTCTGCAGAAGCTCTGAGTCTTGGTTCTAGAATGGGAGAAAAGAAACAAAGATTATAAAATGGGCTACCAAGAAGGCAAGTGAAGGAATCTTTGACCAAGTTGTAAATCCAGACTCACCTTATTTTGAAGGAACAAAATTGCTTGTTTCCTAGTGTATCCCAGATAACCTGCAAGACACAGTAAAAACCCATTTAAATTGCTCTGCCCCAAGAAATGCCATATTAATTTAAGAAGGCAATGTCCAAGGACAGGAATGAGAGGAAGAAAGGTTTTGTAAAATAGCCTAACTTGTTTACTTTTTAAAATACAAATAGCAGATTCTTATAGAAAAGCAAAATACCGATCAGCAATAATTATAACTCCATTACCCATAGATAAAATTTCATTACTATCGTGTAAATATTTTTTCAGATATTTTTGTGGACATTCTCTGTGAGATCACGAGATCACATTATATATATTTCATAATTTCCTTTTTTACTTATGTTCATTATCCCTTACTAAAGACTTCATGGGCTGGGTGCAGTGGCTCATGCCTGTAATCCCAGGACTTTAGGAGGCCAAGCTGGCAGATCACTGGAGCTTGGGAGTTCAAGACCAGCATGGCCAACATAGTGAAACCCCGTCTCTACTAAGAATACAAAAATTAGGTGGGCATGGTGGCAGGGTGCCTGTAATCCCAGCTAAGGCAGGAGAATCACTTGAACCCGTGAGGCGGAGCCTGCGGGGAGCAGATATCACACCACTGCACTCCCACCTGCGCAACAGAGTAAGACTCTGTCTCAAAAAAAAAAAAAAAAAGGCTTCATGGTATTAGATTTTTGGATATACATACCATAATTTTATCTCATTGAGGGCAAAGAAAATTATCTACTGCTATCCTGCCGTAACTAATGTGCTCTTTTTTCATTCAGCATTATAGATTTAATTTATGTGAGACACTGACATCTCCAAGTCCTGACACACAGTAGCCACTTAAGTGTTTGCTGAATGAAAGTATACTCTTTAAAGAGTTTTATCTATCTAGTTAGGAGAAAATATATGTAAACAAAGTATCATAAAGTAGCAGTAGGTCTAAAGGCCACACAGCATGCCTTTGAGTGTGCTACCTTGAGGAACTGGGGGGAAAAAGGCTTTACCACTATTAAAGGAAAAATATGAAGAGAGCCAAAGAATAAAACACACTTTGAGAATTTAATAGGTGTGTCCAGTGGGGGATGGTAGGAAACAGGTAAGAAGAATGAGGGAACTCATTTAGGCTTGTGGCTTTAAGTATCATCTCTAAGTGGATGACTCCGAAATTGTTATTTCCTGGTGAGACTTCCTCTCTGAGCACCAAATTTGTATAAGACTTCTCTACTTCAATAACTAAGGGGCGCCAGGTGTGGTGGCTCATGCCTCCCACCACTTTGGGAGACCAGGCGGATCACAAGGCCAAAGGCTCGAGACCAGCCTGACCAACATGGTGAAACCCTGTCTCTACTAAAAATATAAAAATTAGCTGAGCATGGTGGCATGAGCCTATGGTCCCAGCTACTTGGGAGGCTGCGGCAGGAGAATCGTTTGAACCCAGGAGGCGGAGGTTGCAGTGAGCTGAGGTGGTACCAGTGTACTCCAGCCTGGGTGACAGAGTGACACTCCATCTCAAATAAATAAATATCTAAAAGGCAACGTAAGTATTAACATATCCACATGGAGTTCTCAATTCCACATCCCTCATAAGAACAGTCTTCCTTAGAGTTCCCCCACTTCAATAAATAAAATCACCATTGAACTATATATTTATATCCTAAATCCTTCCATTTCTTCTTCACTTAATCCATCACCAAAGTCTTGTCAGTTATACTGACATAACAGGTCTCAAATTCATCAATTTCTTTTCATCTCTACCATTAAATTACTACCTTAGGTGAAGCTATTTTTGTTTTTAAACAATTTTATTTACTTTAGTGACAGGGTCTCTCTGTCACCCAGACTGGAGTGCAGTGGTGCCAACATAGCTTATGGCAGCCTCCGACTCTCGGGCTCAAGTAATCCCCCGCCTATGCCTTCCAAGTAACTGGGTCTTCAGGCAAGCACCACCATACCCGGCTAATTTTTTATTTTTTTGTAGAGATGGAGTCTCACTTTGTTTCCTAAACTGGAATCCAACTCTGGGCTGCAGGCGATCCTCCAGCCTCAGCCTCTCAAAGGGTTGGGATTACAGGCGTGAGCCACCATATCTGGCTTGAAGCAAACTTTGTCATACCCTAGTCTCCTTACTTTCATTCTTTCTCTCCAAAAATCCTTCACGCAGCAACCAGACAACTTTTCACAAACATAGATCATTAAAGGCCTAAAAACACTTCCTACAAGACTCCGCATGACCTCGCCCTGGCAAGCATATCTAATTTCAGTACCTGTCTTACATTGTCACTTAGATGACCCTTATATTCATTCTTTCATATCTTCAGCTCTTTGTATTTTACTGTTCCTATTGCCCAGATTGCTTTTTCCTCAGCTCAGTGACTGGCTTATTCTTACTTTTAGATCTCAACTCAAATATCTTCTGTTCAGGGAAACCGTCTATCTAATCTTCTATGAGTACCCCATCTGAAGTGGTCTTCATTATCCCT